CCGCAAGGATGGAATTCAAAGCTCAAAATCAATTGCGGCAGTACTTATTTGTATCGCGCCTTGCCCAGCGGACGGAAGCCACCCAGGGTTCAACCACCCACCCTTCCCCTCTGGAATGGGAAGGAAGACAAGGCCAGGACGAGGATAAACTCGGGTGGGGATGAATCGCGAATCTCGGAGATCTGGAGGCTTTGGCGGATGTATCGGGCGGGGCGGCGTTCTCAGAGCGTTCCGGAACGCGCTGAGAGCGATCCGGAACGCTCTGGAACGGATTTCTCCTCGTCCTGGCCCCATGCGAGACGAGCACAAACAACGGGTCCAACTGCGCCGACGTTGGCGCGCAAGCTCCCCGCGTGAGGTCACGCGTGAGCGCCCTCGTCTCCAGTGTTGCGTGCCGCGCCGGCGGCCCGCGTGAGCCTCCGCGTAAGTCGGAGGGAGGAGATGCGACACCAACACCACCAGGAGGGCCACCTCCAGCGAGGAGGCCCCGTCCGAAGGAGAGCTGGTGAGGGGGAGGGGGAGCGGAAGGGGGAGGGGGGAGGGGGCGCAGCGACCTGGCGGCAGCGAGGAGGGAGGCACGGGGGGCGCGGCGCGGCCGGGGCCTCGTGCAGCGTGCCGCCGACGAAGAACTGGAGGGCCACGTCCTGGCGCTCGGAGGGAAGAGGAGAGGGGCGATTCGAGGGGGCGAAGTGTTGCTCGGGCTCTCGGCGCCGACTCCACAGTGAGCACGTTTGTGCACCACGGCGCGTGGCAAGGAGTGGACCCCACGGCATCACGCTTGTTTGCGAGCGATTGTGTCCAATGGTATCTGGGAGTTTCGGCATGGTCTCACGACTGATCCGTCCTGCCCCCTTTGCGGCACCTGCCCTGGCACGTTCGCTGCGTGGGTCTCGGGGGAATGCCCCGCCACCTGGGCCTACGTCAGGGATTGCGACCTCTCCCCCTCCCTCCGCTCGGGCCTCCGCGAGTACCCCTCTTGGGCCCTTTGGAGGCACGCCTTGGTCCCCGATCCTCGGCCCTGGACCCTCATCCCGTCCTCCTCCCTCCTCGTCAGGTGGCTCAAGAGGCCAGTTGGAGGCGCCTTCGAGGGCGAGGCCTTCGGCGACGGCTCGTGCACGCATCTAGTGCAGGGCGATCCTCGGCTTGGTAGGGCAGGCTGGTGTGTTGCGCAGGTCGACGAAGCTGGCTGCTTGGTCGCGTCCCCGTGTGGTCTCCTGCCAGGCCCGCGCCAAAGCTTCGGACCTGGCTGAGGCTCACGGGCTGCCCATGTTATCCGGCGCACGCCTCCCTCCCCCCCTTTGGCTACTTCTCGGCCTGCAAATGGGTGGTCCCGAGCTTCGCGCGTGGACGCCTCGAGACCACGGGCGCCCAATGCGAGGCCGCCGACGCGTGGACTCGGATAGGGGATCGGATGGACGACCTGGGAGAGGGGGGTGGAGGTGTGCAAGCGGAAAGGCCGCGCCCGCCGACGCCAGGATGGCGAGGTGGAGCGAGGCATGATGAAGCGGTGGGGCAACCACTACGCGGCGCATGTAGGCACCCGCGAGGGCGCAGCCTTGCATCCTTCCGATGCCGAGGCCAACGAAAGGGAGGTGCGATCTGCTCGGCTCGTCACGCTCGTGGCCAAGGTTTTGGCTCGGACCCTTCAGGCTGTTGGGCCGAGACAGCAGGCCCCCCCTCGCCACTGGCATTCGCGGCATGCGAAGCAGCGGGGGCAAGCTCCCGCCCCCTCGGCGGACTCGGTCCCGTCCCCTGGCTCTCACAAGCCTGTGCCGTGCGACATGGGTTTCCGATGCGCTCGCTGCTTCCGCGTCGCCCGCGCCCGTGGCGCCTTCGCTGCAATCGGGTGTGGAGCGTGGGCCCCTTTGTCTTTCGTGCTGCGTGCGGTTCGCATTCGAAGGACAACGCACGGAACCTGCTGCGTCCCTGCACCCACAGACGCGGCCCAAGCTGGTCCGCCTGTGCGAGGGCTCCCACCCTCGCACTGGCTTGCCTCTGCAGCCGCCTCCGAAGAAGCAGCTGAAGCCCCGCCCGTTCGGAGAGTGCGTCCTCGACGCCACCTACGGTGGTCTCGTCGTGGGGGACGAACACGTCGAGGCGGACGGCCAGCTTCCTCTCCCTCGCTCGTGTGGCACTCCCCAGCGGGAGGTGCCCGAGCTTCCTTTTCTTGGTCGAGCTCGCCTCGAGTCCGTCTGCGTCGCCAGCCCTGCTCGCACGCCTTCGGCCGCGCCCGGGTAAAACTCCTCCTCGTCCTCCTCGTCCTCCTCCAACCCCCCCTCCTCCTACTCTTCCTGCTCATCATCATCAGCATTAGCATCATGAACATCCTCATCATCATCATCCTCATCAGCAGCAGCATCAGCATCATCAGCATCAGCATCATCAGCATCACCATCATCATCATTATCATCATCATCATCATCATCATCATCATCATAATCAGTATCATCATCAGCATCATCATCATCATAATCAGTATCATCATCATCATCATAATCAT